TTCAAGTTTTAAATGATTCTCAGGAGTTTTTGGGGTTGCTTTTTGTAACCAGTGGTTTGAAATGAAATCTCCTTCAAGGGTAGCTATATAGAAATATTTGACCTATTCCCTTGTAAAGGGCCTTGGAAGGTACATTAACTCTAATCTTAGTACATATATTATTACTTTAAATAAACCACTGGACTTCTCACTTCATTGTAATGACTCCTACCTAGTAATTTTTTTTATCTTAGAGCATAACTGCAAACAAGTCTATTAAATATCATGTGTATCTCCATATAGATAATTGCCAGTAGCTATGTCTAATGAGTTTTAAAGCCTTTTCTCATTTGAATGATTAAAGAAGCACTATATTCAGGCCAGTGACATGGCAAGTGGCTCACAGGGAAGATTGTAGAATTGTGTTAGTCGGCCTTCTATTGCTGTAACAAAATACCTGAGCTAATCAAGTTATAAAGTCTCTGGTGGGATGGTGGATAGCAATGATGAGGAGTGTATGGTGGAGTGAAACCTGTTCACTTCACAGCCAGGAAGAAAAGCAGAGGAAGGAGAAGGGGCTGAGGTCCTACCATTCCCTTTGAAGGCCTGCCTTAATGACCTCAATACTCCCCATCAGGCTCTACCTCCTAAAGGTTCCATCCTTTCCTAATTGTATCACTCTGGGGGCGCATGAGCCTTTGGGGCACATTCTAGCTCCAGACTATAGCACAGAGGTAACCTACCAGTCAACACTTTTTAGGTACTTACAAAGGAATTGACATGGCAGTGTAGACAGTCACATTTCAAGATTTTGAAAAGTCTGGGAAAATGGGCACCTGGAATGTAGTGTGCAGTTTACTGTCTGACAAGGTACAAGGCAACTGTGTAGACAGGAACAGAAACGCCAGTCATGAGCGAATGATTCCATTTGGAGTCTAATAAATAATTAGGGGACCATGTAGGCCAGCTCCTCTTCTGCAGCTCTGAACAGGGAGCCGGCACAAGGTGGCTTTCCTGAGGAAACAACTTCTGGAGCCTCACAGTTCAAACAGGTAATGGCCGCCTTTTACAGGGCCTACTCAGATCCCATTTAGAATATTGTGCACAGGAGCACTTACCCACTAAAAATAGGCTGTCGAGTGTTGGGGAAAGTGTGGAGGAGATGGCAGTGCTCACAGGAGGAGAGGGTGGTTGGGGGTGGTTTTGAGAGCTGAGATGTTAAGATGTGAAGAGAGGTGATTTAATCAAGGTATCTGAGTATCTGATGGGCTTGAACAATGAAGCTAGGGCAGGACCTATTCATGCTGTGAGGACAAAAGATGCTACAGTCTGTTAATTAAGGCTAAGGAGGGGAGAGTCAGTAGGCAAGACCTTTCTTTTGTAGGGTCATTGATAAGTGGAGGTAAAAAGATGAGGTACGGCTAAGAAAGGAGAGGAAATGTGGGAACAGGCTTTGTTAAAGTCCCTAAGAGGCAGCAGCTCAGGAGGCTGCCTGCCTGGTCTCTCCCTCCCTCCACCCACAGAGCCATTTCCCAGCTTCTTGAACTCTGCGAGTTCCTGTCACCTCTGCTGTCCTGGAGGGAGCGACAGTCTCAGCAGGGAGGTAGAGTCTGTTCAAGGTCACCACACAAAGTACTTAGCAGGCAGGGAGATGTGGGGGAGGGGGGTTAAGTGTAGGTGTGTGTGTCGGGGGGGGGGCACATGTGTACACATGGGACCTGTGCAACAGGAATGCTTTAAGAGGAAAACTGGGAAAAGGTAGATTTTAGTAATATAGTGTGACTTTCAAATGCTGGTTGCTTAGAAATGAATGGTAAATGGGCTAAAGAGAGGAAGGGGAAATGTCGTGATCAAGGCCCATGCAACAGTAGTTTTACAATAAAAATGTATTGAAAAAAATTCAATGCATATTGTGCAAAATTAAGAAAATTGGGATTGGGAGGGATTGGGGAGAATGATGAAAGGGGTGACACTGATCAAGATTCACTGTTTTCATATTCTACTTTGTTGAATGATAACGCCTTTGTACAACGCCTTAAAGATAAAAATTAAAACAAAAAAACAAAAATGTGAGCAATAAAGAAATGGACTCATATGAAATCAACCATCTGATTAATTCATCTCTCTCTGTCTTACACACACACACACACACACACTCCTCAGGAGTGAATTAGTCTCTTCCCCTTCGGTGCCAGTGGTTTGTACTGGCACTCCAAGGTGAAAATAAAGAACAAAATATAGACAGCCTCGGAGCCAGCCTGGGCTGCCACCTCTCAGTATCACTGCACTCCGATGGCAGCTGTCTGCCTGTGTCCCACCATGGCTCGCTTGCCACCACTAGTTCCCATATGGCTGCAAAAAGAGTCATTGCTCATGAGGCCTCAACTGCCACAGCAAAGTCTGATCCAAGTGGCTGCCACTGTTCTCATTGGCACAGCCAGGACCGGTGAATGGAGAAGATAAAGATCCAGAGGGCTTTTCTGAACCAGGAGAGGAACAGATACTGAAGACATGGCTGATTTGCAGAAAAACAAATAAAAAAACAACAACAACTGAGTGGCTAATGATCAACCCCTTCCAGTGTGGAGAAAAGAGCTCCCAGATGTGGTGGATGGAGGTGCACAAAGGAAATATGCCCAGGTTTGAAGGACTGATGGTGCCGGTGCCGCCAAGGTCAGGAAAACAATCAGTAATCATATCACAGCCAAAATCAGCTGGGCCATTCACCGGGCTTGGAAACCGCCTCTCCAGTCTGACAACAGACAGGGCCGGTGGTGCTGGGCCAAGAATCAGCACTGAGGCCTGGCAGCACTTCGTGGCACTTGAGAAGAATGTGGCCACAGCTGCATGTGTACATGAACACATGTATGGGTGCGCCTGCCAAGGTATGGGGCACCCTCAGCAGCGCCTTGACAAATGACCAGTGGTGTCTTTTTGCTCCTTATTTCTTTCTGACAGATGTCAATCAACATCTCTTGCTATCCAGGGCTGTCCTGTCTTGCTTGGCCATTTTGAATGTTCACTCTGAGATCAAATTAACTTTGTGAAATGATTGCTTTCATCAGTTAACAACAGCTGCGCCCTGACTGGCGGTCTCAAGCTCACTAATGCTAATGTTTCAAGGAGAGACAAGCCAACCAGAAGTTTGAATTTGGTCAAATGTGAAAACATTTCTCTGTCTAGAGAAGATTCTTAGCTTATCATTCACTAGCAAGTAGAATTTTTTAGCAGACAACTGATCTAGAACTAAAATGTTTTGGGTAAGACTGATAAAATCTTAGGTACAAAATAAGGAGCAAATAGTTTTGCTTGTGTGTGTGTGTTTGGACTTGAACTCTGGGCCTGGCACTGTCCCTGAGCTTTTTTGCGTAAGGCTAATGCTCTACCACTTGAGCCACTGCTCCACTTTCAGACTTCTGGTGGCTAATTGGAGATAGGAGTCTCATTAACTTTCCTGCCCAGGATGCCTTCAAACTACAATCCTCAAAGCTCAGCTTCCTTAGGAGCTAAGATTACAGGTGTAAGCCACCAGCTTCAAGCCTGGATTGAATTTAAATTTTTTTAATTAATATTTAATTTTAAAAAGTTAAAAATTAAAAAATTAAATGTTTTTCAGATTAACATTAAGATTAATATCAAATCAACAAAAGGTTTGAGGAGGGAAAGCCTATGACATTTTATCAAAATTTAGTTTATGTTTGAAAGTAAAAGCAATTTCAGAAATTAGATATTCCTTCTGGAAACAAACCCCAAATCCATTAATGATAATGATGCTAAGCAGAGCATGTGCTTATTAATAAGCACAAGACCCCAGGTTCAATTTGCATGTGTACATTTCCATGCACTGAAACAAAAATGGGTATCAGGGCTGGGAAGGTGGCTCAGTGGTAGAGCGCTTGCCTTGCATCAATGAGGCCCTGTTTCTATTCCTCAGCACCATATAAGCAAAAAGACAAAAGCCGGAAGTGGCGCTGCGGCCCAAGTGGTAGAGCGCTAGCCTTGAGCTGAAGAGCTGAGGGACAGCGCCCAGGCCCAGAATTCAGGCCCCATGACTGGACCAAAAAAAAAAAAGGGGGGTATCAACGGAATTTTCTATAACACTATAAAAGGCAATCACAGCACACTTAATACTTGACACATTCCCTTTAAGAATGAGGCAAAGATGACATCCCTAAATATTCCTACTGTATTTTACACTAAAAAATTTAGCCAGTGCGGTAGGACAAGAAAAATAAATAGAAATCACAAAGATTTGAAAAGAAGAAACAGAACGTCCCTTTTTTGCAGATGATACAGTTTACTCTATGTGGAAAATCTAGAAGACTCAATAAAAAATTATTTGAATTAGTGAAAGAGTTCACTAAATTTGCAGGGCATAGACCCATACCCCAAACTAAGCCATTTCTATATACTAGCAGCAATTGATGATGATATTGGTAGTTACAATAGAAAGTAAAACACCTTTGGGTCCTATCAAACAAAAATTGTGCAAACTATTCACGGAAAAAATAATAAAAACCTTCACTGAAAGACATGAAAAAGATTTAAATAAATCACTTACTACTGAGAGAAGGATTTTGATTATCAAGTGCAGAAAATCTTTTTGGAATCTTGGCAAACCTCACTCACCTCTACTTGCCCATGTTCTGGAAGGGAAAAGGCTGGGATCACAAACTGCTTGTGTGGTGGTATGGGATTCCCACTAGGTCCTTCCATATCTGGATCTCAAATGTTCCTTTGAGGTTCTGACCACTGCTTAACAGTCCCACGTGGAAAGGAATGTATCATGTCATCTCAGCCTTCCAGGCATGAAAGCTGTACACAGCTGTACTTCTCCACATGTCCCTTTTAGTCTCCAGCCAGTGTTAGAGGTTCAGGTCTTTTTTGATTACATTAGAACAAAAGCTGAACCACTGCAGCTTCTCGCAGAGAGATTCTTGTTTTGCTCTATGGTGAATTACAACACGCATACCTCATTTAGGAGGCCTATTTTCTGCAATCCAACACAAGGTAGAACTTACCTGTAGAAATCTGAGATCAATTTGTCATCGTAACGATCACTCAGATTGTTGAGGGTTTGCTCATGCTGGCCGAACAGGCGGAGGTAGTTGGAGACAGGAAAAGGTGTCTTAGAAAGACAGGTGATCGTCTCTATTATTCTATACCTGTTAATGTGAATACGGAAGTATGTCCCTTCTTTTGCATTACCTGTTATCAGTTGTGAGCCCTAGGAGCACAGCAAGAGAAAGAACAAAAAACAACATTAGAAACATTTCTAGTCTTTGGGAACTATCTTAGAGTGACTTTTCACATCTAACAGACAGGTTATATCTTATCATTTGTTCCAAATAACCGTCATGGATATTGACTACACTCACCGGAAGATTACAGTGTGTCACGCACCCCAGATGCAGACTTCGTGACTAAATATTCCTCAAGGTATTTTAAACCATGATTGCGCTGTTATATTTCTTTTTTTAAAAAAATTTATTGTGACAATATTGTACAGAGGGATTATAATTACACGGGCAAGGTAATGAGTACATTTCTTATCCAGCATTGTTGCCTCCTCCTTTGTTTGGCCTTCCCATTCCTTCCTATCCCCCTCCCACCCCACCCCCTCACCCGGCCCTGCCCGGCCACAGGTGTAGTTCGTTTTTCAACATAACGACTTTACATCTCATTGTTGCAATGGGTCCACCTGTATCCCTATTTAAATGGTTTGTTTTTGCCCTTCCCTCCACAAATTATACCAATATCAAATACAATGAAAGCAGGGGTGATACTGTGGAGGAGGGACATACAAAGCAACAAAGAAATAATCTTATAAATATGTTAGAAACAATCACAAGAAAGAAAAAAAAACATTTGAATACTTATCTTGGGGCTCACTTCGCCTAACATCAACTTATCTGACCTTTTCTGCTTGTCTCAGACACATACTAGTTATTACAAATAAGGGAAACCATGGGACCTATGTTTCTTTGGGCCTGGCTTACTTCACTTAATATACTTTTTTCCAAGTTTTTCCATTTCCTAACAAATGGGGCAATGTCATTCTTTCTGATGGA